GAGTCCATGCCATTTCCACATACCCTTGGGGCTGGGGCTGGTACCATCTGGTGTGGAACCACCAATAGTCCAACAGGCCTGTGTTACGAAGGAAGAATCTGGGCCCATAGCAGGGAGCAACTAGAGCAAGGTCACAGAGGGGATGTCAGGACTGGACCCAGAGCCAGAGCTCCCAATTTAGGACCCTTTCCACAGAACAAGCAGCCTCTGAGAAGTCACCAAGAGATAGACAGACACACAGGAAGGGACAAAACATTATATGACAAGAAAAAGGGACAGGGAAAAGAAAGAGCAGAGGGTGGGATAAGGGGGAAGGGGATAAAGAATAGAGATCAAAACAGTGAGTAGGGTCAGGGGACTGGAGGAAGGGGAAGAACTCGTCAAACTCAGTGAACACCTACCACGTCCTAGTTGTAGAGAAAAAAGAAGACTTAGGCTCTATCCCTTCAAGGGCAGGATGGATCCTGAGGAGGGAGGTTGGATGGACTAGCAAACCAATAATGAGAGCCAAGGGCAGACTTGGATGCACATGGACTGGAAACCAGCTCAACAATACTGGGACTCTTATGACAGAATAGAGGTGACTTTATCTGTGTTTTGAATGTGAGGCCAGGACTCCCCTTGATGCTTGGCTCCAGGTCCCTTTCTGAAGACAGAGAGAATGGCCTAGGGCCTGGATGAAGACACTCATCCAGGTGTGTGAGTGTGTGTGTGTGTGTTTTTCAACAGGCAGACTGGACTACTGCTGCTGGGAATGAAGGAGAATCCAGAATTAAAGACAATCCAGGCTACTTTGTCTAGTCAGGGAGTGGAACACCAGTATCTTCCATCTGAGGAACTGAAGCAACGTTTCCCTAATATTCGGTTGGCCAGGGGAGAAGTGGGGCTGTTGGACAAGTCTGGAGGAGTTCTCTATGCCGACAAAGCGCTCAGAGCCCTCCAGGTGATATCGTGCAACATTAGGGGTAATTCAGCTCCTACTCTGGGCAACCTGGGTCCCCATCAGCCATTCCCCAACACCCAGAGTCTTTGCCCTTTCAGGTTTAGTTTTGACTTTTTGGGCAGGGGAGTTTTATATACCCTGCTAGCCCTGGACAATATGGGAGAGGAGGTCTAGATTCTGCACTCTCTTTCCTGCCCTCATTGGAGGACTCTTTGTCCACTAGGGTGAACCACATACATAACGGGTTTGCCCTTCCCTGCTCCTGCCCTTTCAGGATGTAATCCAACAGCTAGGAGTCATAGTACGTGATGGAGAGAAAGTGATGGAGATAAAACCGGGGCTACCAGTTGTGGTGAAAACCACCTCCAGGAGCTACAAAGCCAAGAGCTTAATCATCACAGCAGGTCCTTGGACCAACCAGCTCCTCCATCCCCTGGGAGTTGAGCTGCCTCTCCAGGTAAGGGGAACTGAAAGCCTGAGAGCTGGTGCCTAAGAAAAGAAACTTTGGACCCACATGGACTTGAGTTTGAGTTCTCGAACTGCCACTTTCTAGTGGATGACTTTTGACATTTTACAGGTTATAAAATTGAGGCTCAGCAGACTCACCTCAATAAACCTCAATTTTATAACCTGTAAAGTGGGTGATAGGGCTGTTGGAGAGTTAAATTAAACGATATATGTAAAGACCTTAAGAGATGACCTGGCCTATAGTAAGCACTCAATAAACATGAAGTATTATTAACTCCTGGAGAGACAGAGAAGTAGGACTGGATGCAAGTATGGGAGAAGATTAAGAACGAGGGAAGAGACAGAGATTCAGAGATTTTTATGCATTATAACATACTGTAATATGTAAATGACATGAGAACTGAGTGAAACAAAGATGGCTGAGTTAAGCAGAGCATCTGGGCTTATATTAAAGGGCTACAGGACCCTAGAAATGCTTTCCCTCTTCATCTTCCACTTCTTCTCCCTGCTCCAAGACTCTGCGGATCAACGTGTGTTACTGGCGAGAGAAGGTTCCTGGAAGCTATGGTGTTTCCCAGGCCTTTCCATGCTTCCTGGGCCTGGACTTCAGCCTGGCTCCTCACCACATCTACGGGCTGCCCTCTGGAGAGTACCCAGGGCTGATGAAGGTGAGCGAAGAGGGCAAGAGAAGGCTAATAGGGGCCCACGCAGATTTGCGGCAGCTGTTCCCTCTCAACAGACTCCCCCAGATCCCAGTGGGCAGCAGCAGGAACCTACTTCACTATTTACAGTGTGCAGCGCAAGCCTCCCCCCCCAGCCCCCTGCCACACACCTGTGCTGGAACCAGCAAAGGGAGCCCTTCCTTTTCACACATAGGGTTAGTGGGGGAATGGACAGCTAGGCAAACTTGTGTGGCAACAAACAGCATCTGTCAGGACTGGGGAAGGCTGGGATGATGGATGGGGGGCATTCTGTGTATAAGCTTGCCCTCGGGGCTGGGGGGAGTGTGCATGAGGGCTGGCCCTCCCAGCTCACACTGCTCTGATTGGGAGCCAGGTCTGCTATCACCACGGCAACAATGCCGATCCCGAGGAGCGGGACTGCCCCACAGCTTTCTCAGACATCAAAGATGTTCACATCCTCAGCCGCTTTGTCCGAGATCGCTTACCTGGCCTAGAGCCCGAACCTGCCGTTATGGAGCACTGCATGTACACGGTAAGGGTGTGGGCAGCTGGGCCAGGCCCTCCCGCAGCCCTGGAGAGCAGAGGAATGAAATAGACCAGCCTTGGGCTGATCAGGCCGGACTCTACCTGACCCCAACAGAGTCTGTGACTTGACACAGATGAGCTCATTTCTACGGGTCGGTTCACCTCCACCAGAGAGGGCCCATTAGAAGTTATTCATATTCCTTTTCATTAGGAAACTAGGCTTATGTCTGGCAGTCCTTCACTATGTTTCCCAGAAGAGCTCTAAAAGAGTTTTTGGCAAGATGTTCTAGTTGAGCAGGCCTTAGGGACAAAGAGAAGAGACAGATGTCACCAGGGCCTGAGGCATCTTGGCTAAAGTTAGTTTACATGCATTAACTGAGTGCCTACTGTGTTCATAGCTCTATACAAGAAGAGACAGATGGATGAATGAGAAAGACGGGTGAATGGAGTTACCTAGGGCACTGGCATGCAGAAAGCATTCCTGTGCCCTATTCTCATTCTTTCTGGAAAGAAATGCAGTCGAGGCCCCTCCCTTCTGAGCCTGCAGTTCTTCCTCTACCCTCTATCCTCACCCAGGTGTGATTGTTTCTTTCTAGAACACTCCTGATAAGCACTTCATCCTTGATCGACTCCCAAAGTACGACAATATTGTCATTGGTGCTGGATTCTCTGGTGAGCCTGAGCAGCAGAAGACGGGGTGCCTTAAAGCTGACCTGCCTCAGTGCCAGGCAAAATGGTGTTTTCCCTGCTTTTAGCTGAACCAATAGGGGCCAAAGCCTAGACCTTGAGTGTATAAGGGGGCTGGGAAGGGCTATCAGAGAAGAAGGGGTGCTCATGGTGGGAGGCAACTTCAGGCTTTGGGATGCGGCCAGTGGGGAGGTTAGCCCTATCTGGGGACCTTGTGGGGGACTTCCAGGAAGCCCAGCCCGTCTCTCTCAGGATGCCTGACAACCTGTTCTTCTTTCCTCAGGACATGGTTTCAAGCTGTCCCCTGTTGTGGGGAAGATCCTGTATGAATTAAGCATGAAATTAACGCCATCCTATGACTTGACACCTTTTCGAATCAGCCGCTTCCTTGGCCTGGGCAAAGCTCATCTTTGACCCCTGGCCAGCAGCCTCCCTTCTGCGCACAGGAGCTGTGAATAAAACCCTTTGCTGGGAAAGACTTCTCAGAGGAAGGAAGGAAGGATGTGAGATGTCATCCTTTTCTCCTGCCTCTCTTCAGACACCCACAAACACCTGCCAATTGAATTCACCTTCTTTCCCTAGCCAGCACCCCAAACCCACTACTTTTTTGCTTCAGAAGTTCAATTAGATATTCAATAATCACAGAGTAGCAAGGAACTTTGAGATGGATGTCTCAATAAGGAGGGGGCATAAAGAGACCAAAGCACTTAAAATTCTCTTTGCTGAGGCATTCGATGAATTTGGGATAGGTTTGACTAAAGCTGCTCAGGGGAGGGTAAGCAAGATGATCTGTAGACCACTAATGACCTTGGAGTTCTTTTTCATAAAACCAGAGCCGTCTTCTATCACAAACTTCCATAAAATCTGGCTCATCTTGGGTGCACAGTAAATGTTTGTTGAAAAAAAATGCGTTGAACAAACAGATAAGTGACTGCATTGCATGAAAGTCTGTGGGAGGCTTTATTTTCCACGTGACCTTATTTCTTACAGACTTTAGTTATCTAAATTAGCACCACAGAATCCATTACCCCAGGACTCCTTGGGGTCTTTATCCCCTCAATGCACTGCACCCTTTTTCTCTGGATTCTTTGTCTGGTTCTCATCCTCTCTCTGGTGCTGTAAAGATGCTCAGCTCCCAGTCTCTCATTAAGGTGTATTGTCAGGTCTTTATGAAGATGAAGCTGTTATACCAGAAAGGAAGAGAGAGACACACTCGCTTAGAAACCCTGTTCAATGTTTGAATGTTAAATGTGCCATTTTATTATCATTAGGATTGCTCCCACTTAATGAAACGGCATTAACACCGAGGCGGCTGGCCTCCTTGCACTAATTGCTTTGGAAGGAAACAGGCTCATAACTGCCCCAGGGTGGGTGGAGGGGTGAGGGGTGTAAACAGAGACTCAACAAGGTTAAGTGCACTCAGATGAAACCCAGGCAGGAGGATCTCCAAACCCAGCCAGTCTGACCCCAGAGAAAAGGAGTTAAAGTGCTCCGGGAAGAAAAAAACTGGGACTGGGTGGGGTGGAAATGTTCCGAGGAATTGCTGCGGGGATAAGAGAGGGAAATGGGAATAAGGAAATACAATACAGAGGAAATTACTCTTCAATTGCCATATAGGCCTAGGCACATGATTAGCACTGATTTCTCCTGGGAATTATAAAAGCCAGCCAATCCCATCAGCCCCATGCCAAGACTGCGTTTTGGGTGCTCTCTCTTGGTTTCCTGAACCTCAGCCTCTGTAAAGGGAATAATCCTATCTGTAAAATGGGAATAATACTACATCATGAGTCAACCTTGAAGATATGATGCTAAATGAAATAAACCAGACACAAAAGGACAAGTACTAGATGATTCTGCTTGTGTGAGCTTCCCAGATTAGTCAAATTCATAGAAACAGAGAGTAGAATGGTGGTTGCTAGGGGCTGGGGGGAGGAGGGAATAAGGAATTATTGTTTAGTGGGCACAGAGTTTCAGTTTGGGAAGATAAAAAAGTTCTAAAGAAAGATGGTGGTGACGGCTGCACAACAGTGTGAATATACTTAATGGCACTGAAGTATACATTTAAAAATGGTTAAAATGGTAAAAATGAACTATACATTTAAAAATGTTTAAAATTTTATGTTATGTACATTTTACCATAATAAAATAAAAAAAGAGTAATAATACCGACCAACTCTACAGGAGTGTGTGAGGATTCAGTACGATCCTTCATTCATTCATTCAATACACAAACATTTATTGAGCTTCCACTATGTGCCAGGCACTGTGATAGGCATGGTGAGTGTATCCATGAACAAAACAGATGAAAATCAATACTCTTGTGGCATTTACAGTCCAGTGAGAAGAAGACATGAACAATACATATAAACAAGTTATGGCATATATTAGAAGGTGACAAGTGCGTTGTGGAAAACACAGAGCAGACTGAGGAAGATACAGCATGCCAGGGGAGGGGCTGCTCTTATCAATGGATGTCAAGGTAGGATTCATTGAGGAGGGAGAATTTGAGCACACTTGGAAGAAAGGGAGTGAGCCATGCAGATATCTGGATGTATGTAAGAGACTGTAGTAAATTGTAAAGCAAGGTATTGTGTTATGACTGAGAGAGGGAAAAATGAGGTACAGAGAGGGATCAAGATCCTGCCAGCTCCCAACGTGGCCAAGTTGGGGAGACAGAACGTTGGGGGCCTCTCCCCGCCTCTCATTCCATGGCTGCCCACAGTTCCCTCTGTCTCTGCTTCTCTCAGTGCCACCCTCCTCCCCCAGCCAGCTGCAGCTCCCCTTCCAAAATATCCAGTCTTATTCAGCTTGCTGGTGACAGCTAAAGGAGGGGACCAGTGTCTAGAGGAGGCTGAGAAAGGACAAGTGGGGGATGCTGACAAGCCCTGCCTGAGCTGGTGAAGGCCTCGACAAATGAGCCGGTGTGTCCTAGAAACAGAGTGCAAGGAGGGGCAGGGGCATGTGGGGTAGGACGGGTGTGTGTGGGAGGGATGAGGTCAAGTCAGAATGGAGAGAAACAGGAATTGGATAAGAAAAGACTGGCAACGTGCAGGCCAAGAAGGCAGGCAAGGACCTACAGGGATGCTGCACACCCCCGGAGCCAAAGGCAATGGGTCCAGAAAGCCCAAGTGGGAGGAACTGAGCATTTCTTTATTGGGGGTGGGGTGGGGTCATAGAGGGGCAGAGGGGGAGATAGGGAATAGAGTCTATGGGTATGGGGGAGAGGACCAGCCATTGCAGGTGGGCTCAGAGGACAACTTGAGGGTTTTAGTAACACTGGAGGATTTGCCAAACAGACCCACTAGCATTATCTCTCTGCTTCCTTGCTTCCTTTCTGCTTGAGCGTGGCCAGGCATCCACTTTCAGGCAGACCCCACCTATCTTCAAGATGGAAGAAAATCAAAATAAATCGGGCAGGCAATAAGAGACCTCTGGAGGGGCAGCTGGGGTCTGCACAGGCTGCAGGGGAGAGATAAGGGCAGCAAAGAGAAAGAGGCCCGCATGGTTGCCAACCAGACTAAGGAAAACAGAGGCAGGCTGAAAATAGATTGGAGGTGGGGAGGAGGAGAGCCAGTCCAGAAAAGAAGGGAAAGCAGAGGCAATCGATGCCGTTGCGACTCTGACCCAATTCTTCATCTTTCAGCTGCACCAAACTGAAAAATTAGGAGGTGATTGGGGGAAAAGGGCAAGACTGGGTACAGAGAGAGGAGGGTCAGTGGAAAGCAATTTGAATCCTAAGACCCTGGCAATTGTGGGATACAAATCAGTAATCACTACAAGGAAAAGAGGAGGTACATAGTGTAGTTAGTACAAGTTATACCCTCACCAGAGTTGGTATCCCAAAATAGGTTTAAGAGCTTAAAGAGTATAAATCTAACTTGGAAGGAGATTCAGCTATCTGGAAAGGTACGAGGAGGCAACAAGGATGACTCATTCTAGGGACAGTAGGCTGGAGTGACTTGATGCCTGTGTTTTACTTCTCAGAAGAGTGATTAAAGAGAATTTGGTTATTGGATGTTTTATTTCAGTGGTGGGCTTCCAGTGTAGCAAGAGATTTAGGTCAGACCTCAGGAAATTCATCCCACTAAGTAGATTTGTGAGATATTAAAATATATAAGCACTCTTATGGTATTCTTCCCTTGGAAATCTTTAAAAATGAGAAACCTATCTATTTGGGTATATATAGTCTTGCCTGAAAGCCAGGACCTCCCAACAAACCTCTGGAAGACGTCTGGCTAGAGAGGAGATCTAGGATTTGTGTTACCCTGGAGGTAGGGTCTGAAATGGGTATCTGGGCAGGGCAAATGAATATAAGCACGTGGTGGGGAAGGGGAGACATAAGGCAGGCCGGATCTGTCAGGCAGGAAGAAGCAGCAGGGACAAGGGGCAGGATTCTAACACGCAGGACCCAGTGGCATTTACATAACTTTGAATAATGAATAAGCCCAGCTCTGGGGCGCCTAGTCAGCATGCTCATCTGCATCTTTATTAAGCTTTATAAATGATTCAGCTCCCTACCCCTTCCTCCCAGCCCCTGCCCAGCCTGCCCCAAGCATCAGGGTAGTTGATTGCTCATTATTTTAGACTAGATTTGTTTCACCAACATTCAGTGAGGCATGGAGTGGGGGACACAAGAGAGAGGAACAAATCCAAAAGGTGGGCAGAGTGGAGGGGTAGGGGAGAGGACAGAAGCAGCCACAGGAAGGCAGGCAGACAGCTGTGAACTAGGAACGTGGGCATAATCCTCTAAAGTGCTCCTGGGGCCAACATCTTCAGGAGAGAAAGGTTTCTTAGATTCTCTGAAATGTGCTGGGTTCAAGTCCCACTCAATCCCAGGTTTCCTTTACATCTGCTGCCAAAACCCCAGCAGGCTCCTCTCTCAGCACCATCGCAGCACAGAGCCACTTGAGCAGCCAAATGAGAACTGCCCCCAGGGAAGTTCTCACTTTTTCCTGAGGCAGGAATTTTGCTATTCTCGTGCAAAAAAAGAAAATCTGCTACGCTTGCAAGGCTAGAACAGGCACCAGACATATTAGGGGAGAAAGTGGTAGGAACAGACCCACATGGTATGTGAATCTGTAGAGTTCATTTTTACCATTTTAACCATTTTTAAATGTATACTTCAGTGCCATTAAGTATATAATATATATATAACTTATTAAATTATTAATGTATAAAAATCCAGGAAATCTAAAATTGACTGGCTATTTGTTATTAAATAATTATTGATAAAATTTTAAGGTATGATATGAGTATTATGATTATATTTTTGAAGAGTTCTTTTCTTTTCTTTGAGGCATAGATATTAAACAAATTATCTTTATCTTAACAAAGTGATGTTATATCTGGAGTCAGCTTCAGAATAATCCAGTGAAGGGAGTGAGGAAGTGAGTGGGGTGTAGATGAAGCAAGATTCACTCTGTGTTGATAACTGTTGAAGATGTTTGGTGGATAAAGTTCATTGTACTAAGCTTTTTACTTTCTGTACACAGAACAAAACAAAAACAACTCCTTGAGTGTTTCTCATATACAGTAAGGTGAGAACCACAGCGCCAGGCACTCAGCAGGACAGGGGCCACCATGGCACCTCTGTGAGCACAACGAAGTTTAAGGAGACCAGGTTTGTGTGACCTAAATGACAGGCGCAAGTCCTGTCCTTGAACACACTAGGCCTCAGGCAGAGCCCCAGGGACCACTTGGGGTGAAACATACCTGGCAGAGATGCACTGGGGAGTCCAAGAGTTCTTTAGGCTTCTTCCCCAGCTAGCCCACCGTCTGGGGACTCAGAGCCCAGGCCAGGCGGTTGGACCCAGGGGAGCTTCCTGCCTGAGGCACCCAGAGCAAGCAGTCAGCCTCATTCTTCTGAGTCCCTGCCCTCTCTTGACTGACTCCACAGGAACCGGACCCCCATCTCAGCCGGCACCCACCCCCCACTACCCTCGCCACTGCCCGTCACCACTGCTTCCCAGAGCTGTCACTCCCCCGACGGGCTCATCTGCCTCTGCCAGGGCACATTAGCCCAGCTGACTTCATCAAGGACGTGAGGGGAGGCTGAACACCAGTCCACAGAAGTGCCGGCACCCAGGCACCACCCTCAGCGGCTGCCAGCAGAGCTGTCTGAGCTGCCGAGAGATTCCCCAGTAGCTTGATCTCATTTGCATATCACTCCTTTAATGAACACATTCAAATGAATCCCAAATTCTCAGTTTTCTACTATCCCCGACAGGCTGGATCTTCTCACACTTGTTCCTAACATGGGCCAACCATTCCCACGTTCTCCAGATGCTTTTGAGAAATAACTTCCTGCTCTGCTGAAGTGCAAGGTTCCCTTGCCACCCTCCCCGCCCCCGCCGCCGGCCCGCCCAGCAGAATTCAGCCCCGCACCCACCCCATCCTCACCCGAGGCACCACCAGCTCCACCATCATGCTCAGTTTGGGGCTCTCTCTCTCTTCTCCGCTCCATTACCTTTTCCTGATGGCCTCTAGGGGCTGGGGAGGGGAGAGAGTTGGAGGGGGTCTATTTAAGAGATTTTTGGAATCTGTGCCTGCGCATCACCCGCTGCCATGAGTTATTTCAGCGCCGATGTTTGTCTCGAGCTGATTATTCCAGCCTGAGAACAGGTGGAGCAGCCTGCGGTGGCTTATTCGTCAGCCAAGGCCATCTGTTCCCAACAAGCTGAGATTTGTAGCTGATTTCTACTGGGGAGCAAGGAGTGGGGGTGGGGAGGGAGATGAAGATCACCCCCGCCCCAGGAGACTTATTCCTCCCAGACCTTCTGCAATGTCTGAACCCTCAGTTCTCCCCTTTTAATGCCAATACCTTCTCATTTTCTCAGAGAATTCACCAGTCA